AGGGGGAGGGGAGGGGAGGGGGAGGGGAGGCTTCTTTGAGGTTCAACGTGTGCTGAGCGACTAAAATGAGGGTGATGCAATGAAGCCTCTGCAGACTTCCCACTGCTGTAATTCTGCGTGAATAATTCTGATAATGACCCTTTACTCAGCAAGGGTGGCATCCAGATAAGCAGATTGCTAGAGCTGTCCTGTCAGCTTATGTGCACTGCACACTCGATTGCCATCTGATGTGACGTAACCCACCACCGTGACTGACACTGCCCCTTGGGGCCCCTGGAGCCCAGGGAGAAATGATGAAACAACGCCTGTCCAGGTGGGGAGAGGACCCCGCGGGGTGCTGGGGCCTGTCCACTCCTTTGCGCTCCTGGGGCAGAGGCTCTGCTCTCATCCCTGTTGGTGAGCAATGGCCACCAGGAGTGAGTCGGGTGGACAGAGGCCTGAGTCTTGAGGGGGAGAGTTCAAGGTTGTTTTTCTTGTCAGGGGCCTTGTGTGAGGGGAGAGAGGTTGTCACAGCAAAGAGCCTGGGCTGCGGTTTACCTGTGCATCTCAAAGGCAGAATTCGGGACCAAGAGCCCCCTGTTCCACACACAGTGAATCTTGGTGTCACTCTTCCCAACACCCCTTTCCTCCCTTTGGGTAAAAGTCCAACCACGGTCTCTTTGAGGAACCGCCCCTCCCTCCATTCTCAGCCCACGTGTTTGAGGGACTTCACCCACCCTTCTGGCCCCAGAGGGGAACATGTAGCCCAGGGCTGGCCAATGAGAGCACTGCCCCTCCCAGCACAGGCCTCCGCCAGTCAGGGACACTCCCGGTGACACTGTTGTTACCGTCATCGGGAGACAGGTGCTTTCTTTCTGCTAGAGTTGCTAAGCAAGTAGGGTTCATCGAGCACGGCCAGGGGCATCTCTGCCAACCTGGGAGGAGAGGCTGACCAAGAATAAAGGGAACACAGGCTGAAGCTAAGCAGAGAGATAGTGGAGAGATAGAGGGAGATGGGAGACAGAGAGAGAGACTGATCCCTGGCACCCATTCAAGCATCCAGACCCAGCTTTGTTTGAAACTGAATGGGGTTGTGTTGAAACCCCATTATGTGCAGGCATATAAGCCAGTTAAATTCTCAATCTTTGTCTCTCCTCCTGTTTTGGGTTGGGTTTCTGTCATTTGCACCTGACAGAGTCATGAGCAATATGCAAAGCCTGTTGCCTCCACAGGCCCAGCATACAGAGTCCACCTGGTCTCCCAGAGGCCCAGCTCTGTTCTCTGGGAAGAGCCGGGGGTCAGGCCACCCCTCACCGAGGGGCCAGTGGGTCTGAGTCTCTGCTACAATGCTCCTACTCATCTCTCTCTTCCCCTGGTATTCTGCTTTCTTTCTCTTCTTTCTTTTCCTCCTCCCTCTCTCTTGATTTTACCCAGGATTTTAAAAGATGTCAAATATTTTGTGTTGCCAGAAAGTAAACGAGAGCTCCAGAAACGATGGGGCACAACGATGGAGGAGCAGCTGGCAGGGGCTCTCACTGGCCAATTCTGGAACAATTAGAGCACCAAGATAATGGAGGGCAGTAGTGAATTATAGACCCTTAGAAAAGAGGAAACTATGAATCCACACCAATAATAAATAGATCAATGAATGAATGAGAAGGAAGAGCTTTTGCCGCAGCAGAATGTCAAGTGCTGGTCAATAAACATGAAGGAAATCATGGGTGAAAATGTTTGAAGATTTTTCATGTTGAAAAAGCATCATTTTTGAGCCATCATAACAAACACTTATGTAGTCAAGAATGGATCAGTGGTTGCTAATTTCAGGGGAAATTTTGATAAGAAGCAGGATGTTTCCATAGTCTCAAAGTATCTCCCCACAGATTGCCCATCAGTTGCTAAGGGCGTCAGAGTAACTATCAGGGGAGGAATACGACCACGTTTTCTTTAAAACTAACAACGGCAGGGAGGGCCAGGTGGACATCACGTGCCTCCAGGTGGGACGCCCTGAGGAGGACACGACTTAGAGAGTTCCCCCTCCCACCCACCCCCATAAACAGAATCTAATAACGAGCAGTCATCTGACAAACCCCAAACAGAGACCGTTTTAATAGTTTAGTTATTTTATTGTGGTAAAAAACAAATAATGGAAAATTTACCCTCTTAACCATTTTCAAGTGCACAGTACAGTAGCGTTAACTACACACACATTGTGGTGCAACAGATTTCTAGAACTTTCCATCTGTGCTCACCATTGAACAACTCCCCTGCTCCCCAACCCCAAAGCCTCTGGCAACCACCATTCTACTGGCTATTTCTAAGAATTTTGCTCCTTTACATACTTCGTACGAATGGAATTGTGCAGCGTTTGTCTTTTTATGACTGGCTTATTTCACTTAGCATAACGTCTTGAAAGTTTACCCATGTTGTAGCATGTGTCAGAATTTCCTGCTTTTTAATGGCTGAATAATATTCCGTTGTACATATATACTTCATTTTCATTTTTACATATTAGGTTTTTAATCCATTTTGAGTTAATTTTTTTTAACAAACGTATTTATTTTTTCATATTATTCATTGTTAGTGTATAGAAACATAACTGATTTTTGTGTGTTGACTTTGTATCCTGACTTTACTGAATTCCTTCAGTAGTTCTAAGTTTTTTGTGGACTATTTAGGGTTTTCCTCTTGCAAACATTTTATTTTTTTAAAAAGGACTGAATTCCTTATAAATGTTGATTTTATAAAAGAGAAAGAAAAATTGTGGACGTAGTTCAGGATAAAGGAGACTAAAGCAACATGAGAACTAAAAACAATCCCTATATTGCATCCTACAATGGAGGGAAAATGCTATAAACAACATTATTGGGCCAATTAACAAGACTGGAGAACAGATGGTTGATTAGGTAAAAGAATCATATCAGTGTTTAATTTAGTGAAGTTGATAACTCTACTGTTGAGTTTTATGCACAAAAACAGCATTATTCTTAGGAAATACATGTTGAAGTACTGAGTAAGGGGCTTAATATATGTCACTTACTCTCCAAATAGTTCAGGAAAAAGAAAATAGAGAGAGAATGAGCACAGATAATAGAATGGGCAAAAAAGGTAAATCTAATTAAAGGGTATATGGGGGTGTACCATGTACTATTCCTATTCTCATAACTTCTCTGTAGGTTTGGAGTTATTTCCAGATTTTTGTTGGCTTCAGGATGCTGGCGTCTGGTGCAGGGCTAGGGACACCCTCACTCGCCTGGGGACAGGGCTCCCACCAGCCGTGCACTTGGCTGGATCACTTTGCTGGATGACCCCTCCTGTCCCACCAGACCCTGCTGTGACTATAAAAGCAGCACGTGAGACATCTTTCCACATGGATTGGTAGTTTTGTCAAGTGGAACTTAATCCTTCCAAATCAGGAGATTATTTTGGATAAGCCATTAAAATTATTAATTAAAATGTTAGTGTCTGATTGCCTTTGTACTTGTTTATAAGAATTTTCTCAGAGCCTGGGTGCGTTGACCTCCCTCTCCTGGCTCACCTGTTGAATCCATGTTAAATCATTCTCCATTTCTGCCTATACCAGAGGAACCTTCTAAAAGTGAGCACGAGGTTTAAGAGAAGACACATTTTAAGACATGCTCAAGGTTACGAGGACACCAAATATTTTTGGAACCTCTAGTGTGTGCAAGGCAACTTGGTAGGGAATGGCTATTGTCCTCAAGCAACTTACAATCTAAAATAAGAAAGCAAGGGACTTCCCTGGTGGTGCAGTGGTTAAGAATCCACCTGCCAATGCAGGGGACACAGGTTCGATCTCTGGTCCGGGAAGATCCCACATACCGCAGAGCAACTAAGCCCATGCGCCACAAC